GAACAATCCCATCACAACATAACGACTTCGTTTGAGTTTGGAGGGAGACTAAATGACTAGCTGATTTTTAAGGTATAATCAGAATAATAATTATAATTATTAGCAATGCTAATCAGCACCCACAAACCTTCCACTGATACGTTTTATGCTACTCAAGTTTCTTGCATCTCTGAAACTGTGTCACAAAGTCTTTAATTGCTAATATTGATTATTGTCAAACATGAAATGAGAGAGAAAAATCTGAGAAAGGTCTATGATGTTGTGATGCCCGGAGGAACATTTTATTGCTCTTTCATATCTCTGGAGACTTCAGGAAGATCCGAAGTTGCATTCATTTACATATGATTTGATGAGAAATGCTTGGGCTCATAATGCCCCCATTTACTCTTATTGCTGTCTATGGGAAACAGCAGAAATCTCATGTGTGTTGTTTATTATGGGTAGTGATATAGTGATTGTTTCTTTAAATGAGGGGAATATTAAACATCATTCACTATAGGTTAATGGCAGATTCTTCAATGAATTACCAAACAAACTTAAATTAAAATCTGTGGCATAATTAACCTGTCTTAGATTCCTAGTGAACAAAACATAACTGCAGTGCAGTTATGGTGCAAGTTTAAGCAAAACAGTGACTTATAGTTGCCTTAATCTTATGTTTTCCAGGTCAGTGTTTGTTTATTTATTTATTCATTTATTTATTTTACATTTGTGGGGAGTACACTGATGGCTGAGGAGGGATTGTTATTCATGTTAACATTTTTTTCCAGTACACTGTGTAATGAGATCCCAGATTGTTAAATGTAAAATATGAAATGTGAATGTAAAAATGAACATGATATATGGGGCAACTCAAGGGTGGACTAAAATTATAATTATGTATTATGTAGTAAACAGGCACTCTGCCATAACACCCATTAATGTATATGATGTTTCAGCTACAAACAATGTGCCAAGGATGAAGGACATTTTATGTCCTTTTATGGATTAAACTTAAACCTATTGCAATGAGTCACCCTTATGCCGAGTTCACACTGCACGATTTTAGCCCGATTTTTTCTCGCATGAACGAGCACCGATTTGCCTCCGATTTTGGGCATTTGTCTGCGATTTCGCAAAACCTGTCGGTGAGTGAAAAATCGGGCTAAAATCGTGCAGTGTGAACTCGGCAAAAATGATATTTCTTCCAAAGGATATGGGACTTTGACACTGCATTCTGTGAAATAATGATCATTGGACATTTAAAATTTAAATGCTTTGATCTTAATAAGCAGCAAGAGACCTTCTTCATCAAAACATGAGAAAAACACAAAACTGTTTTTCACTGATTGGACTGAAATGCCATCTCTCGACAAGCCTTGTTTAAGATCCTTGTCTGAATTCTTTTTATTTCCTCAAGTAGACAAGTTCTTGTGCATAAAAGATTATGAATGAAGCAATGAAAAATGGTTCTTCTATGACATCACGGCAAAACCATTCTACATTCTACATATCATGTATCCATGATACATTCTATCATTATAGGTTCACAAGGTATTTATATGTAAATGACTCTTAGGTCCTTTCTATTCATCATACACCTGCTGGTCTTCGGCAATAGAACTGTTGAAATAATGAGGTGGTTACAGCCAAAGGGCCTGATCACTTAGCTGAAGTATGTACTCGGATCCCTAATAACCAGTCCACAATACTATAGGATACATTTTGCAAACTGTCTTATCTTAAATCATTGCAATCAAAAATTGCGGAGCAATAACATAGACACTGATAAGGGAAAACAATATAAAATAACGAGAAAAAAAATCAATTAAATTAAAGAGTAAATTAAATAAACCTGAAATAACTTTATCTTAAATGAATAGTTCATCCAAAAATGATTGCTAAAATATGCTGAAAATGTACTTCCCCTCAGGCCATCCAAGATGTAGCTGATCTTGTTTCTTCCTCTGCATCACATCACTTGGTCACCATTGGATCCTCTGCAGTCAGAAGGAAAACAATAATCCACAAGTAATCCACACAACTCCTGTCCATCAGTTTTGGTGTTTTAACTTTAAACCATCACTTCTGGCCAAAAACGGTCCATAATCCATAGTAACACTTTCTCCAGTGAAAAAGTCCATCCCCTGTTGTCCACTCACAAGATCCACCAGCATATTTATTTAGAACTGTTTTCGCTTGTAAACGTTGCTTGATCTCTTTACTGATTCAGACAACAGATATACTGATTCACCAATGCATGGGTCCATTGGTGAGCAAATGATGTAATGCTACATTCCTCAAAATATGTTCCAATGAAGAAACAAACTCATTTATGTGTTGGATGGCCTGAAAGCGAGTAAATATAAAATATACATAAATGAATAGATTTGTTTATTGTTTGGCCAAACTATTTTGGACTATTTTTAGTTTTCTGAAAAGAATCCTCTAAATGGTCAATTGAATTGAGGTGTGGGGTCAGTGTGGGGCTCAAATAGAATTTCATGCAAATTTGTGAATTGTTCATTAGGGGGTCCACATAAAAGGAATTACAAAGGCACCCAAAATATTTCCCAGTTCCAACCCTGATGAATCATCAGAACTTTTTGAACTCACATACATTAATTCACATCTGTGTTCTTGTCACATTTCTGTTCTCTCCAAGAGAATTTTTACTTATGCCCACCCTTTATATAATGTAAGTAGCAAAGGATATGCTACAAGTCAAGTGGTAAGTCAAATACTAAACCTCAAGTGCTATTATAATTGCGAACCTTGGTCTTATACTCTTGCACTGCTAGATACACCTGCTTATATGACTCAAGTCAAGTATTACGATTAATAGAGGGAACATTTTGCTGAAGCATTCAAGGACAAAACCCTGACAGCAATGAACCCCAGGACTCAACGTATGCAGGCAGCTGTACTGCTTTAATGTTTAGTAGAGGTGTGATCCAGGAGTATTTTTGATATACTGTAGATCAGACCTTTTATTTAAACAAGCTCATGATGATACATGACTCCATGACCAAGGATTGACCACAGAACCAAGCAACATGGAAACATAACTTGCTTGCTTTTATCTTTTGTTTACATTTTATTGTGCATTTTATTATCTGATGTCATTTATTGACATGATATAATGTTAACTGCTCTACAATAAAATAACTGAAAATAAGGACATCAGAGAGAGAGAGAGAGAGAGAGAGAGAGAGAGAGAGAGATGAATTGTAGAACAGCTGTTAGGACTGGAAATCTTTTCACAGGTGGAAGAAGCAAGCTTTATTACTCTAGGGACAAGATTTAGCTCCAAGGCATAGGTGGGCTTCCTGTAATTTTTTTAATCGTACAGCAGAGGGGTGATTCAATAATATATCCACATTGTATAAACCAGTTATTGTTTTATAAAACAATAACTGGTTTATACAATGTGGATCTAATAGCCAGAAGCTTATTTTTTCCCCATGTTGTGGTATTAGAAATGATGTATCATTATGATTTTAAAAAAAAAGTATTTTATTCACATATTGTTGTTAATTATTAGAATATTATTAGAAAAGTCAGAATAATTAAACAATAGAAAACATCAATGATGTCTGCGATGAAGCCTGATTCAAAGTGTGTGATCCGATATCATGCTGTTTCACACAAAGCACCACAAATGATGTGTAAGAAGCATGAAAAGGAAGATGCTGAGTAAATGTCAGCTTTGATATCAAAACATTATAGGAAATGTGAGCTAATAATACTCATATTTAGATACACTGGACTGGCTCTCATTCTGAAGAATTCTGGCTATCTGTCGTCATTATTTTCTATCACTATTGTCATTAATCAAACAATTCCCAGCTGGCGGTCTAACGTAACATCCACTATAAAGAGTTGTAGTGTATCTGCACCTCCCAGGCATGATAAAGAGAAGCATCAGTTTGATAGAGGTGGTGGTCACTTAAGGCTTATTCTATGAACAGAGTGCTGTGGTCTCAGTGCCTCCTAGTGGATATCAAAGTGTTGCAATGGTGGTTCGTAGCAACATCACTCTATCTGGTCTATGAGAAATGCATTAAAAACATTCATCTTGAATATTAATGTCTATAAATTGTCTTTGTTCTTAGCTTTTTGTGTGTGTACAGACATAATTATGAAGAATTATACAGTCTTCTATAATTTTCTGATTTGTATGTATCTTGGCTACTCATCTCTGTAACTGAATTTTGAATCACCCAAGAAATTTGTCAAGTGTCAGGAGAAAAAAAAAACATAATACAAAACAAATATAATGCATAAACATATGTTTCTTTTTATTTGATATTCAAAAATACATTTCACCAGGCAAAATGCATGTATTTCTTTCAGTGCTGGTTGTGATTATTTTCTTCCTTGCATTTTTGTTGTTCAGTAATAGCTTTGCTTGATAATCAGGCCTCAAAATACAAAATACAGTAGTCATTTAAACATCGACATTAAAAAAATTAAACTATGAAATTCTACAGTATTGCAGCAAGTTATTTTCTATATTGTAGGTCTATAGGCTACTTTTCTTTTCTTTTTATTACTACTACTAGCAGCTTATATGTGCATTTGTATTGGTGCCTTAGCAAGTCTATTGTATGCAAATTGGGTATATGCTAAACATTTGTCAATAAAGTAACTGAAATAGTAAAAAAAAAAAAAAGGAAAATAATATTGATGGATTCTTTGCTAATTTATGATATTACTGTTTTTAAATATTATTTTAAATAGTAACTATTTGCACCAAATGTTTAAAGTAAACCATCACCGTCTGTCACAATTTGAGAATTTCTACTTTTGGAACAAAACCCGACATTTTTGACAATGTTTTATAGTGACTCTTACAGCCTTTTCATGTAGGCAATTCGTTGTGTACGTATATTTATTAGTGCAGGCAGTTTTTGTGAGATAGCAGAATCTCAGCCTGTCATTGCACCTCTGCACCCTGTCCGCACTCCGCAGACCGCGCTCCGTGAGCTGACAGCTCCGCCGCGCATGCGCAGGGCGTCTCCACTGGCTCGCTCGGTGCTGAAGTTGGGCGGATGGACGGAAAACACCACTGATGGAGATAAAACGGCAGCATGCAATCTCAACCCGTGATACCCCCGATATCCGCATAAACACGTGTAACGACACGCTTATAGAAGACTGACATCTAGAACAAAAGGGGTAAGGCGACACACGCTCTTTAACGGTCTCGGAGGTCCCGCTAGCTCGCCAGCTAACGCGCTAGCCGTTGCTTCCTTGCGCTTAAAAAAAATCAAAGAGCCGCTGCGAAAATAGAATAAAGTGGCAGTTACGTTTCGCCTGTGTAAAATAGCTCGGCTTTTGGGAGCCGTTTGCCCATTACTTTCAAATGCACCACGATGTCTTGTGATAAATACGGTTTGGGCTTTACCTGCGATGACTTTAGTAAAGATGCTGGCTGTGTCGCAAAACCCAGCGAGCTGCCTACCTAGACAGCCTTTTTGGACTTAACTCGAGCGGTTGAGATATTCCAACAGCATTTATAACGCTCGCCGGCGGTAGGCGACTTCATAGGGGCGTTTAAACGATCGTTAACGTTCCAACGATGCCTACACATGCTGTCTAGGTAGGATCCTCACTAGGCTTTGACACACAGCCGCTTTGATTCCACAGACAGCCACTGCAACGGGGAATGAAGGCGAATAACGGGATGGCAGCCGTCTATATCTATATATCACGGAACATTGTGTTATATTGTTAATTATCAGAAGTTAAACTATTCATTTTCGTCCAAATTGACCTTTTATATTTACCTCTATGGCAGCCGACCATTTCCTTACGATTGACCTTAAGTGAAATATATATTTTTAAGTTTGTATTTTATTTCTCGGACTTGCCAGTAGTTATTATTTCCTGCATTCAGTTATTGATGACAGCCTACGTGAAATTAAGAGAGTTTCCTTCCGGAGGAGGGCTGATTGCTCGACCCTTCATCATCATGCAAGTTGTGGAGTTCCTTCCATTCACTTGTGCTTCTGGCTTTACATTGCAGCTGGTTGTGGGAAACAATCGGTTTCATGTGGGGGGACATTTAATTTCGTGCGTCAAATAAGATGACTTGTCAGTAATGAATCCATTCATTAAAACCAAGCAATAGTAAACTGCTCTTCACAAGTGAATTAGTTTTTTTACATTTTTGTTTTACTATTGAACACTTAAATACACTGAAAATAAAAGCCAGTACATTTATATACTTCAGTATACTTTATACTTTACATTACTGATATGCCTGGGTTCTTCACATTTTGCTGTGATATAATGTTAGACTAAGGTAGTATTGCTTTGCAGAATTATTGACTTCTTTTCACTTATCGATAACGCCTGGTTAAAAGCATTAGTTTGAAAGTATAAGGATTATTGAGATTAGAATAGTATTACCAGTGTCAGATAGTAAAGGAAGACATGTAATATGCATTTCGGAAGTACTTATACAGTACTTTTTAAAATACACATTATTAAATTGGAGTTACTTTTTTGTTTTTATGAATTTAGTGGGGACAATAGCAATGCGTAATGCAATCATTCCAAAATGTAATGTCTTATAATAAATTCTCCACTAAAGACTCAAATTTTCTAGTTAACAGTTTCTAGTAAACTTATCTAGTTTAATATTATTGAAAGAAAGGCTAATTAGCACTATTTGATTAATAAGCTATTTGATTTTCATCAGTACATGCAATAATTCATTTAAAGTAGTGATGAAACGGACGTAGCTAAGAGAAGTCAGTCATTTTCATTGGAAGGTCCGGTGCACGTTATTCAAGATGACGTAACATTACATATGCATGGATGAGTTGTTCACAACAAGATCTTTAACATGCATTTAGAAAATAGAATTTCTATTTCATGCTTACTTCTGGGTTTTTTGTGTTATTAATAAAAGTGTGCTTCTTTTTTGCTTCATTTTGTCAAATAGCACATTATTATTCATGTGTCAAACACTAATGAAATAAGAATTAGAATATAAGAAGTCCAGAAGTAATCAGATTAGACTGAGTGCAATCCAAAAGATTTGCAAATTTGAGTATTATAATCTGTAATTAGTTTCAGAAGTGATCTACCGAGCACTAACTGAGAATTACCATTAATCTTTTGGTTTGGAGTCAACATAGTTTTTTCATGCTTATTAGTATTTATAGCCCTAGATTAAAGCAGTTCTGATGTTTGCCTTCTGGTTTGATTTATTTCCCAGATGTCTTATCCTGGATGATTTAGCCCTTGACTCAAGGAAAGGGTGTGCCTGCAAATACCAGGTGTTTGAAACCTACCTCCACCCACCTCCCGCATTCTCCATCAGGCATGATAAGAGAAGATACAAGAGGCCACATTTTGTTTTCCTGCGCTCTGCCTGTCTCAACATTTGACATTACAGTCATGATTTTCTTACCTGGTCTTCGGATGGATCGCTGCTAATTTGCATGGTAAGTTAGGGGTGGTCCTCTCCTAGAGTGATTGCAAGTGCATTGATGATGTGGAAAATCACAAGACGTGTTTGCTGAGCGGTGATGTGATGCAGCGCAAGGTGAGAAATGTGGGCGAAACGGGCCCCTGTGTGATTATCGCATGTATCGGAACTGCGGTGTGACATGTTTCTCAAGCTAGGCTTTTTGGGTAACGGCTCTAGGAGGCTTCTGTTATGCAGCCAGCCATGGCCTATGCTATGCATCACTTGCTTTCCTGGAATGTGTATGGGGAAGTGCACAAGGGCACAAGACTTACAGCAGAAGAACGGGGTTAGAGGCAGGACAACTGCGGCATCTGAGCATGCTCACACACAGAGGCATTTTCACGCATTGTAATGTAATTCACGAGTGCAGACTGTAAGCGTGGAGGTGAGCACTCAAATGCTTGTTGTTAGAAATATGCACAATTAAAGAAACCTCTTCTGTTATTTTGAATTTTAAAAATGCGTTCAAACTTTCAAAAGCATTTGTAATCTGTTCAGCAGTCGTTACTGGAACAGAAAAAGATTATTTCTCTGAAGATGTGCAGTGTGTGCATGATTAAAATGTACATTTTAGGTAGATATCTCACTATCTGTAACAGAAACACACCAAAGGCTGAATAATTATTATGTCCCAGACAGATTATCTTTGCCTGTTCTTTCAGTTGTAACCTTCCCTTGTTAATAGTGGAAAGCTTTTTATTAACATAAATTATTACATGGGTCTCTGGAATACTTGATTCCGATTGGTCAATTGTGTGCGTTGTCCAGGACAGTACCATATCACTGACTGTAGCTGATCAAATTTAATTAAAGGGAGAGTTCCCCCAAAATAAAAATCCTGTCATTATTTACTCATGTTGTTTCAAACCTGTATGACTTACTTTCTTCTGTGGAACACAAAAGAAGATATTTTGAAGCATGTTGATAATCAAACAGTTTTGGTGAACATTGACTTGTATTGTATGGACAAAACCACTGAAACATTTTTCATAATATCTAATTTTATGTTCCACAGAAGAAGAAAAATCACACAGACTTGTTAATTAAATTATCACAGAATTGTCATTTTTGGATAAACTATCCCTTTAAAACAATGGAGATGCACACATATAAACTGACAATAAACATGAAATTCACTAAAAATATCTTAAAACAGAACGTGTGAATTATCTGTGACAAGACTCATTAACTGACACAAGGTAGAGCTAAGGCACCTGTTAATCAGCCAAGGGGGCATAGTTAGTGGCTGATTTGTTGGCTATTATTCTCAAAATAGCCAAATATCGTCTCATACATTAGTCTGTTGCTAGTTTTTAGTGCCCTGACTTTTTTTTAGCTTAACGTTTTAGAAAATGTTTTTAGAAATTTCCTGTGAAATCAGACTGGTCGTATAATTGTTTTTTCCTCAATACAACTTCTTGTTTTACATATTGTGTAAATGTGATTCTTGTGAGTTGTTGGTCAATGCTCTAGATGTTCAGTGTGTTTTGCGTTTGGATGCATGATTTCCATTGCCTGGCACTGAATAACTGATGGTAGTTTTGTTTTGCATATTTGGTTTATATGGCTCTATTAGGGTAAACTCTCAAAGGGTGTTCACATTACATCCCAGACAAACTGAGCTTTCATCACCAGGTAGCAGGGCTGTTTATCACAACACTTTTTTTAAGGGCAAGGATGAATTTAGAGGTAAGGTTTTTGTTTCGAGGTCTTTGTTTAACTATAATTTACCTAAATATTCAGAGTATTCCTATTTTGGCATATGTAATATCAGTAATGTTGAGTTAATATTGATATTATGTAATGAAACAAAGAAAACAGTACACTACTGTTACCCTAGTACAAGCACTATATTAATACTAAATAAAAATTGTTACAAAATGATTACTTTTATATGCAGTGTGCTTTGTATATTTATTTTAGAGAACAAATGATGTGTAGCATATTTAATGCTGTGTTTTCGTTCATAAAAATGGGCTGTTATGTGGTTTTGTCCTTTATCACAGCAATGCATTTCAATCAACAGTGAATCTTTAAATTATGCACCACACGTTGCGACAAAAAGTCAGCCAACCAAATGCCCCGTGGTTATGGGATATTTACCAATACCATACTGTGAAACGATAATTTGATACCGTCCCAGAGCTCCAGCTTGTCCGTTTAGTGCCCAGACTGTTTGTCCCCAAATATTTGTATCAGATGTTTAAGTGATGTGATATGGTGTTTGTGCTGCCAAACCCTGCCAAAAGATCAGTTTCCAGAAAGCTTTTGCTAAAATGAACACATTTGTTGAGGTCATGGTGTGAGGCATCACGTTTACAAGGGTTTCCCAAAGTGTATTTCACATAATTTATTTGCAGTTCACGCAAACAACTTGTAGAACTTAAAGCAATTAGTTGAATAGAGTAATGAGGCAAGTCCCATTCAAGACCTATAAAGTTCACAAAACACTTGAAGTGGTGCAGGGGTTAAATGAATAGTTAACTAGGAAATCCATCATTTACTCTCCTTTATAGCTTTTGAAACCATTTTGACTTTAACTTTCAGTCTGTTCTTCAGACAAAATTGTCAAATGGCTTCAGAAGACTTGGTATACAGTATAGAGTGCAAGCAATGTTATTTTAGTATTATAAGCATGCTATTTTATTTGCAGTTATAGTGTTTATTAATTCTTTAAATTATCTTTTATTTTATCATTAAATTTTTTGTTTTAATTTAAGTTTTAGTATTTTTTGTTTTTGGCATTATTATTATTTATTATTATTATTACCTTTAATTAAATTGTATTTAATTTTTAGTTTTATTCATTTTAGTGACTTCAGTACCTTCAGTCTTTCTTCAGTCTGTTGAACACAAAAAAAGATATTTTGAAGAATGTTAGTTGCCAAACAGTTGCTGTACACTAGGGCTGTCAAACAAAATTCGAATTTCGAATATTCGTCGAATTAAAAAAAAACAAAACATTGCATTCGAATTTAAGGTCTGCGTCAGCCGTCAGGCAGCCTTATTAGTGGCGCACGAGATGCGATGACGATGTATGTGTCATTGATTGCATTTGAATGCTTTTGTTAGCCTATCCAGTTGAACCCACTAGATGCGGCGCTGCTACGTTGTTCATTCATATATTGCGGAAAACGAGAGCATCAGTGTGGAGAAGATGTTGTTTATGGCAAAACTGAAACCAAGCCGTTCACACAGAACGCATATTTATCACATTTTCTAGAGGGACATCTATCCGTGTTGCACTCGCGTCTCGCAGAGAGCGGCATGTTTAGAAAGCCATGTAAAATTAAAGTTCAACTTTTAAAAAAAGTTGGTTTTTGGTCCTTTGTATTAAACTATACATACACGCATGGTGCTGTTTTTTTTTATAATTAAGCAACTTTATTAATTATATATGGTTTATAAACATTATTTTAAACAGTATGCACTGTTTTTCAAAGATAGTCCTGTTATTTTATTACGCTTTGAAGAAACGTGCATTAATTTAGCTCGATGCGCCCTCTTGTGACCTCAGGAGAAAAGGCTAAAGCTTTTTTTCCCCCAACTTGAAATTATGCCTTTTAAATTCGAATATAATTCGAATTTTGATAATATTTAAGTAGAAAATTCGAATTTAGTTTTTCAGTCATTTTGACAGCCCCTCTGTACACACACACACACACACATATATACATTTTATATATAATTTATATAATATTATATTTAATCTAATATTTCTATTTTATTTCAGCAGTAATTTAAATAAAAAAATAATTGTTAATGGTTTTACTATAATTTTTTTTTTTATCAGTTATATCATTGATCAAAATCACATATGACAAAAAATATATTTTCAATTACTATCCTCATGTGTATGCAAGTAAGGTGCTTCCATAGTACCAGTAATATATGGTCACTATTAATAAAACTGTCAAACAGAATAATCACCCATGTGTTTCAAAGACATGTTAATGGTATGGTGATGGATCACGGTTAGAGTGGAGCAGAGCTCACAATAACAACACTTGCTTATTTTCTCTCCTGATAGAGTGCATCTTGGAAACACATGCAATGCGGTTAAAATGTTTGTGGTTAAGATCTTTGCTCTGATGTTGTTTTTAACAAGCCAGTGATATTGGGAACCAAACGTGGAAGAATTTATTGAAAACCATTTTATTTCACGTCTGCTCTCTGTTTGCCTGTGTACAGGTAAAAATGTTGATTTGCACAGAGATTTATCCGTATATGGTGCCAAGTCTCCAATTTAAAGACATTATAAAATCTAAAATGAGAATTTGGTGGTTTTTAGTATATGTACATATACTAGGAAGCTCCTAAATGTTGACAAAAATCACTTTTAGCACAGTAAAACGAACTTAAATCTTGATGACTCATTTAGTCTCATTTTCCTTGACAATGTACTTTATTTATCTAATTAGTTTTGCCTAAAATAATTTTTAGGAAGGATTCGTATGGTTTTATTTAACTTATTTTAAGAAACAGGAAGCGACAGCCATTGCATTTTGACAGACCATGTACTTCCTAAAAGGAAAACCATTGCATTTGCTCATGTGAGATCCACTACTACTGCCTGTGCGTGTTCACGGGTCGGGGAGCGAATGCTTCAGCCCCACCAGCATCTCTCTCTCTCACCCTCCTACAGCTCACTCATTTAGCATCTTGCTAGAGGAATGAATGTCTAGTCTGAAGAGGGGATTTCTTTACTTTCTGCCTTTCTTGTTTCAGTCTCTACAGACACCCTCTCACATGCATTCTAGTAGATTTCATCTGAATATGCATCTGACAGTAGAGTAGGAAACAGTCCAACAAGCTCAGATACTGAGCATCCTTATGATCGTTTCCATTGGAAAAGCTACCATAACTCTACCATAATAAATCCCTCCCCTGGAAGCTAAAAATAATTAATAATCTCTTTTGGTCTTACTTTAGATTTAGAAACATCTGTAGTTAACAAGACACTCCAGCTAACACAGTTCCCAAGCCCCCACTGCTTTGTTTCTAATCAGATGTGTCTGTCCACAGCCGCAGAGTGTGAGTGGAGTTGAAATGAGGAAAAGGCAGCAGGGACGCATTGAAGGACCCCCACAGGCGCCTGGTCACCCGAGGCCCAACACCTGCTGTCTGTGCTGGTGTGGATGCTGCAAATGCCTCTGGTACACCCCATCCTTCATTATGTTCTGCTGTAAACATGTACTTGCATGGTAGCTATTTGCTTAACTATGAGTTTTACATTAAGCAGCACACAGTCCTTTTAAGTATTTTATCACCATTACCTGCCTCAGGTACATTACCGTTCAAAAGTTTGGGGTTGGTAAGATTTTTTTTAAATACATTTTTGATTACATTTGATCAAAAATAATAGTTTTCTAAATGTTATTTCTGTGAGTGCAAAGCTGAATTTTTATTTTATTTTATATGTTAAGCAAAACATATTTTTGAAAGTCTGGTATACCCTTTTATATACTTGTATATAAATATTATATATGTATATACTCTGTACATTTTTTTTTACATTACAGATTTCAAAAGGTATGTGGTAAATGACCCAGTGGCATTCATTTATTTGTTTCATGTAGGCATTGGTATATGTTAGCATAGCCTTTTAAAATCCTCCCACAGGAATATTAAGACATGTACAGGTACATCTCAAAAAAGTAGAATATCATGATAAAGGTCAATATTTTTTGTCACTCATTTCAGAAAGTGAAACCCATATGTTATATAAATTCATTACACATAGAGTGAAATATTTCAAGCCTTTATTTCTTGAAATTTTGATGATTATGGCTTACAGATAATGAAAACCCAAAATTCAGTGTCTCAGAAAATTACTTCACACTGGAGTTCAAGCAACGTTTCTGTGCCTCTCCACTCTTCCTCCAGACTCTGGGACCTTGATTTCCAAATGAAATGCAAAATTTACTTTCATCTGAAAAGAGGACTTTGTCTCCACAGCCCAGGTAAGACGCTTCTGACGTTGTCTCTGGTTCAGGAGTGGCTTGACACGAGGAATGCGACATTTGTAGACCATGTCTAGGATTCGTTTGTGCGTAGTGAGTCTTGATGCGCTGACGCCAACCTCAGTCCACTCCTTGTGAAGCTCCCCCAAATTCTTGCTGGTGCACCTTTTCCTACCACACTTTTTCCTTCCACTCAACTTTCTATGAATATGCTTGGATACAGCACTCTGTGAACAACCAGCATCTTTAGCAATGAACTTTTGTGGCTTACCCTCCTTGTGGAGGGTGTCAGTGACTGTCTTCTGGACATCTGTCAAGTCAGCAGTCTTCCCCACGATTGTGTAGCCTACTGACCCAGACTGAGAGACCATTTAAAGGCTCAGGAAACCTTTGCAGGTGTTTTGAGGTAATTAGCTGATTAGGGTGTGACACCATGACTTTCCAATATTTACATTTTTCACAATATTCTAATTTTCTGAGACACTGAATTTTGGGCCACTAATCATCAAAATGTCAAGAAATAAAGGCTTGAAATATTTCACTCTATGTGTAATGAATTTATATAACATATGGGTTTCACTTTCTGAAATGAGTGACAAAAAATATTGACCTTTTTCATGATATTCTAATTTTTTGTATGCAGAACAGGGTTTGTCTCAGTATGCAAGCTAACATCGCCCATTTATTTGATGATTACTGAGTGCGCTTTTAAGCATGCCCATAATTTTAGGTGTAAAAAACAATAGATGTGTATAAGTAGATGCCCTATTAGCGGCTGTTTCTATGGGCCACTGTAAGCCTTTCGCCATATTGGAATGGTCAAAGCAGGTCTGTGAACACTCGAGAGCAAGTACATCTGCAACCCCAGTGATACGCAAGTATGAATATATCTGAATGAATATTTTTCTAAACTAACACAATACAACAAGACAAAGCCATTTGCTAACACAACATTTAAAAGGTACTGTAGTTTAAGAACCTGTAATATCGAGTTAATACATATTACAAATACAAACCCAACACATTTTTACCTGTGAAAGTTTATCCAATTTCTTCAGGAATTTATATTTCAGCGTTTTGTACAACCAGAGGCTGCGCAAGGTTGTGGCATCCTAAAACTCCTTGATTTTTATTGTGAGCAAAGTGTGAGTGACGACACATCGACCATTCCAATTGCAGACGCATCGACATGTCTGGTGTGGTCGAATGTGGCATCTACTTATACATATCTATGTGAAAACCTCAACACAACCTCAACAGTGTCACTAAAACTAAAGGGAGGAAAATAACCTTCCATTATTCACAGCTGTCTCGTTATTTTATTTTTAATTTAATTAATTATTTTTTTAATTGTATCTACAAACAAACACATTACATGTCTGTTTTTTTTTATTAGAAACAAATTCAATCTGTTGTTAGTCTTTAAAAAAAATTGTAAGAATAAGTGTTCCTTAAAGGGTTAAATTAGCTTGTAAAAAGATGGGGGAAAAAAGCAGTTGGAGTTTGAGGCTGGGCCATTGAACAAAGAAAGATTGGAAAGGCCATAGCACAGCTTGCAGGGGGACTATAAATAACATGAATGAATACAAATATTGCACGAAATAAAGAAAACATTGAGGAGGCAGTACAAACCATGCTCTGTAACCTCGGGTTTCCACAGCCATCCCCCCACTACACACTGCCATTATCTGCTCAGTAAATGGCTATTTCTGTCCCACATCACATGCAAAACGGCTGTGTAGTACATGTTATATATTTAGAGTCTTGTCAGCTTGTCGAACCCCATGGCTAACAAACCCAATTATACTTGCTCTACAGAGACTTGGATTGAGAAACACAGTGGATGTTTACCTGTCATTTGTAGCTTAGTTTCAATAAATGCTCTTTTTGGACTAGAGGAGGAATTTTAGTACTTTAGTACTTCGATTATGGTTAGACGTTTTTTTTCCAAACTGGGGGCCAGATGGGAGTGAGAGAAACATTTGAGAGAGAAAAAATGACAAAGAAACGGCAAGTAGCATTGAATTAAATTAGAAGTTTTGAAGTAGAAAAACTGAAATAGTATATATATATATATATATATATATATATATTTTACAACTTTGAGTTTGTGCCATTAAAATGTTTGTTAACCACTGGAATAGGTTATAATATGTTTACATTTTATATCATCTTTTATTTCAAAACGATAAATTTGTTTTTTCATGATATGACCCTTTGAACACCTGAATGGTTATGTACTGGATTAGCACTTGTTAGTTTCCAGTCTAGTTTTACCGTAGCTGTTTAACCTTGCATGATGATCAACGCAACATGTTTCAAATGCCACAGAGACTTTGCTGTGTCTAACACTTCTCTTCTCACCCTAGGAATGAAGACAGAAGGGAACGTTCAGAGAGGCAAACATGTACAAAGATGGATAGCATAGAAGCGACAGAGGAACAGTGAGTTGTTAGAAACGTCTATTATTGTTAAAGATGTTTGGTGCTTTTTTATATATATAGTTCTTGTGTTCATACTTCTCCAACATCCAGTTAAAATGAGCAACATTTCCTTAAAATGGAACTGCAATTTTGTTAACCATCTTAAAATGAAATGATCTAAAAATCTCACAAAGTTTGTTCCTAAGTCCTTTTCAATGCAGTTTAATTTCTAATCAAGTGCCTTTTATGCCATTTACTTGCACTTTATTTACTGACAGCTGAAGTAAAGTTGTTTTATATGGGTAGTTCCTGCTTTTTTTCATTGTCTCCCATTTGAAGGCATCCCACACTGGATGAGATGATTGCCTGGTCACGGAGCTTTGAGATGATGATGCGCTCTCCAGAAGGGAGGGATGTTTTCCGGGAGTTCTTGCGGTCCGAGTACAGCGAAGAAAACCTGATGTTCTGGATCGCCTGTGAGGAACTGAAGAAAGAAAGCAACTCATCTGCTATCGATGAAAAAGCCAGGATCATTTATGAAGACTACGTCTCTATTCTTTCGCCAAAAGAGGTTAGAAAACGGTGTAAACAATATACGAATAAACAATGCTGTCTGTGGCTGCAATACATTCAGAAATAAATCAAATATGAGAGCATAAAAATATAAGATATTTGTATTAAATTCATAATTCATCTAAAAATGGCCAAAACAAAAGATATTCTCAAGCGTTTTTGTGCAGGAGCATTCTCTGAATAGTTGGTGTTTTATTTGTTTGGCCACCTTACAATTTTTTCTATTATTGGGTGCATATGGGTGTGTTTTTTCCTGTTTACTTTAGTCAAATGAAGAGCATTTTGGAGTTTTTTTTTTTACTTTGGAGCAACAATTTTTTTTTATTTAATTTTTTTATTCAAAATTATTTTTGCTGTACAATGTTTAATGCAAAGCTTCAAGATAATGATTGTTCATTCAGATTTGTTTATTTAAAGGCACAATATGTAAGATTTTTTTATTCAAATATCTAAAAACCACTAGAACAGTGTTATATATTTTGCTGACTTGTGTACTTACATTATCTCAAATGTTTCGAAGAATGTTTAAATCCAGAGAAATAAGCAATTTTAACTAGTGACACGGAGCGTGTCTATAGTGTTATTGTGTCGCCTGCCAATGACGTCATAACCCCTCGCTTTCCGTCGCTTTTGTTTTGTAGAAAACATGGAAACACCAAAGACGCTTTAATATGTTGTGCATTTTATTAGACCGGTGACGACCGCACAGAGTAGCATTATAAAATAACTTTCAAACGGATCTAGTATGATACATCCTATATGCGCACGACCGGAAGGAGCGGAAGCGGTCAACTGTGGCTTAATAAAAGCTCTGCTGCTTTCGAGCCGTGTGTCACGCTCATTCAGCGGCCTCGTTTCACTTCGACGGCTTTCAGCCTCACCCTGCTTCATTCTACTACGTTAATAAATCATTAGCTCATCCATGAACATGATTTCTGCCTGAGTCCCGTCGGATTGCTTCGGCTGTGGGGATGAAGACGACGACTCTCATGATTCCACACTCAGTCATCTAACTACACCTTTGTTTCTTTGTTTGTTTTGAATATGCGCCCTCTAGCGGCGAAAAATTAAATATATAGCCTTTAAGATAAACTTTTTTTGCATATGAAAACTCAATATTTTTGGTGAGGTTTTTTATGCCATCTCACAATAAAAATGTGATTTGAAGTTTGCTAAAGATGTGATTTGTGATCATTGTTCATGGGTATATAAGTATATAAGTTTTATGTGTACATCTTTTTCTGAATTAAAAAATAAATTTTTGCATACAATATTTCACACAAAGCTAGAAGATATTAGTTCTTATTAAAATGGCAATTTAAAAAAAAATCTCTAAATGGTCTAAATTCTCTAAAAGTTGGGTTTTTTTCTTGATGTTTTAAAAAAATTGTCTCTGGATTAAAATAAAAATTATATATGCAATATTTTCAATCTAGTAAAAAATTTCACACAAAGTTTAAATATAAGCAGTGTTTTTAGATCTTTGTGTAAAGTTGTTGATCGTTACATTTGTTGTCGTTCGGCAGGTCAGCTTGGATTCACGGGTGAGGGAAGTCATCAACCAAAGCCTGGCAGAACCCAGCAGTATGATGTATGAGGAGGCCCAGCTTCAGATCTACACCCTCATGCACAGAGACTCCTTCCCCAGATTTCTCAACTCATCTGTTTACAGGGATCTCCTTAACAGCAAGAGGGCCTGCTTAGACACCTAGGTTTCAGCAAGAACATTTGTGACGAAAAAGCCCCAAGGTGCCACTTTCAAAAGGTGTGATGTTTCTTATTTCAAGAGTGAGTAGTTAAGCAATTCTGAGCATCCACTAGTGACCCTGAAGTTCAGTTCTGTTTAAGTGCCAATATGAGCTGCTCAGGCAACTGTGACACAGAAAAAACGTGTAGGAAAACTGACAGCTCCATACTTCCTACTCTCAACTTACTTGTCTTTTTTTCATTCACCTGTTTTGTCTCTTTTGACTCCTCAAATCTCCTCTCTATTCCTGTTTACCTCACCTGTTCTCTTTATCTCTCTATGTTCTTTCTACCTGATCCTTTCCATCTTTTATGCCTCCCATATCTGAGGACAGCTGAATAATGTTATTATTTTTTTTTAAAGAAAATCAAAAAACAAACGGATAAGCGCCGGTAGATGTTAAGCTAGAAAACCTTTGCATGAAACAAGGTTATGGAATTTACTCCAGTTTGACATTTAAGCCCCGGACTACAATGTTTTTTTGAATTAAAAAAAAAGAAGGTTTTTTTTATGCTGTCATGGGGAGAGAACATTGTAAAGCTCTCGTAAGCGAAGGGAAAATTAGCTGTGCCAATTCTTTTGTAAAAGAGAAACTGGGAAGCGTAATCACCGTCTTGCCGTCCAAACTCTTTCTTTGCGTGTCGACAGTTCTTTAACTGGGAAACATAAGGGCTAGCTAGTGTGATTGGGCAGCTAAATGAATCATGAACATTTCTTTCTCTCTGCAAAAATCACAATGCCTCGACAATGAGTAAGGGCACAAAAGCTGCTGATGCTGGTGACGACACAGTTTATTGTGTGAGTCCTCCTAGCCCCTCCCAGTCCATAACTAACAGAGAGAAGCACAGGTACTGTATGTCATGGGCTGTAAGCTTCGCTGGATTGACCGAGAATTGCTTGAAAATCACTCACCAACGTTCTGGAGGTTCTTAAAAGAGCTTCGAATTGTCTTACACATTACAGAAATGTATTTTATTAAACAAAAGTGTAGTGAACACTATGCCTTGTTTTTGAGAGTTACACGAGATCTGTTTAAAATAACTGTGATCGCCGAGAGCTGCTCGATGAGGTTGCGCGACGAAGTCGGATCCATCAGGGAAACTTTGGTTTCTGTCTGTTTTGCGACGAGGAGCAGTCATTCTCGGTCATTTTCACAGCTCGGAAAACGGCAGGTTATTGAAAACCGAAAACAAGTCAGTCTTTTTTGTAATACTTTTCTCCAGCATGCGTTTCTTCTGTTGTGTCATGTACACATTGCAATACTCAACCCAGATATGATGTGAACCTCTGCGGGAAGCATCATGTTGAAGATGATACTTATAACAGATGATTTCCTTTAGAGGTTTAGATGTGTGTCCCTCAAGAATGACAGCTTTTCAGCTCCATGTTGTTGGATTCAAACTTGAATGTTGCTGTTCAATTTTCTAGACATTTATGTGCTATTGCAATCGCAGCAGCCAGTGCATGAAAACACGATATTTAAAATACTGGTGTGTTAAATCACTCTCTCACCTTTTAGCTGAGTAATTCAAGAGTGAATTGCATTTAAACCAACGTTTTCTGGTCACCATACCCAACCTCAAAGTGTAATTTTCCCTGAACTCTTGTGCCAATGAATTAACGTTTGTTAAGTAAGTCATGATCAAGTGTGTTGTTGTTGGGCTTTCTTACTGGTGCTCTGAGAGTTAAGTGCCATTCACTCTGCAGGTTTACCACATTAAAATGACGACCTTTGTCACTTTTCAGAGTGCATAGCTATCCTTCTTTGAAGTATTTGTGTGTTTGAGCATCAGCCAATGTGAGTAGCTCCTTCATTTATGTTGTTTTACAAACCGAATAGTAGTTTACTTACTGAAGCAGCGAACCATCATGGGAAGCTTGGCTTTCCCACGTTTCTAAAACAAAATTATTGAATTTTCTTGTTTGTTTTAAAAGAAAAAAAATTCATGTCATTATTGAAATGGGCAATAAATCAAAATAGTCTTGCTCTAAAAAAAGAAAGATCCTGCATGACACATGGACATTTACCAAACTATCTTTAAGGGGGGAAATCAGAGGTTGACGAAACTGACACACACTTACTGTAAGTGTTATGATAAATGTCAATGAAAAATAATGTGACTGTATGACTATTTCAATCTGTCAGTGATCCAGGAAGTCCAACATCATAGAGGTTATTGAAATTACTGGACAGGGAACAAAGTGAATATGATTATTTAAGATTTTTATGGGTCACTTTAAAGCAGATATGGATAGATTTTTAAAAAATCACAATGGAAGATAATCATGATGTGTTCATTTAAGTGATGATACATTTTAATCATACCTCTGAAGTGTATCACTCAAAGGTATGTTCTTATTATTGACAAAAAAATTGGAGGCAAATAAAGAATGGAAATTAGTGCAGTATTATGATACTGTATTGTACTGCAGACGGAATAATTTAATAAAAACTATAAACATATCATAAAAAATCAGTTTCACAGACAAAGGTATTATTCAAAGTATCATTCTGTAAATGACAACAAATTTGACATTTTCACCCATTATTTATTAGATTGCAGATTATAAAAGAGCATGCAATGTCACATTTGGTCCCATTTACAGTGAACCATCATTTTGAGAGTAGTTATTTGTTTAATTTCAATGCCTCAACTTAATTTTTGCTGCTAATGTTTGATCCGATTTCGAGAGTTCAGGAGTTTTTCCACTTGACGGCTGTCACAGTGATGGCTAACAGCTGTTGATAATGATTTTATAAGCATGGTATGACTTGGAAAAATATTCTTTCTTGCCAAAAGGCTCCTTTTCTAAGCAAATGAAGTGGAGCCTGTGCTATGTGATTATAGGAGCGCCGTCCTCATGGACGAGGTCTCATTTTAATTGGTTTTCCACTACCTCTCGTTATGCTTAGTTGTTTTTTTTCTCATAAAGTTAATGTTTATTTTGATCTACTTGAAGCATGATACTGTAATTGAGATGTATACCGAGGGTTTACTAAGAAGAGTAGCATTTTGTTTGTTTGTTAATTCCTTTCAGCATAATTATGATATATACTCACAAAGAATTCAGGAAACATACTATTTAAGGGCTAATCCCATATTGCCTATGCAAATATCTTAATTGTCATATTGGAATAATTAGTGACTGAGGAATGTTTTCCTGAAATTGGGTGGAACAGGGGTTTACATTTGCCCTTTTCTGATATTCCTTAGTCTCTTTGGTCACATAATGTCATATTATATATATATATATATATATATATATATATATATATATCCTTCTTGATGAAAAAAGCTACTCGATTAAGACTGAAATAAATCTGTGTTGTGTCTACTGTGGGTTGACAGTTCACTATTGATGTAAACTGCATATTGAATGTAAGGTACTGTGCATGCTGAAGTTTATTTGTTCAAGTGATGGGAAAACTCTGGGCTCTGGAGCTGCACTGGGCAGGAGGGAAGTAATTTAATTATTTGTGGATGAAGCAAGTGTCTATTCTTGTTTTTAAGGGTGCTTCAGTCTTTTTTGCAAAGGTTGAAGGGCTACTTTGGGCACTTTAAACACGCTTTTCACGAACAAGAATATCTACCTCTTGGTTCTGTTCTCTCCATATGCTTAATATAGAAGAGCGAACCTCGAAAAACAACTTGCACGCATTTTGATTGTGTTGACTTGGTTTAGAGCCACTGGTGAACTGGCAGGTGCTTTTAAGGGAGTGAATTTTAGCTCAACCTCATTGATTAAACTTCTCATACTTTAGTTATGTTGCTTTTCTTCCTGTTTAAACAAAAGATTGACAATTTATGCCCAAGCAAAGACACATTTGCTGTTTAAAGAAAACACTCATTTATACCTTATAACTGTTACAGCATATGCTTGCGTTATGTGATATACGGATTGCTGTAGTTACAGAAAAAAAAGTGTTAACAGCACTCAGTAGTACTTGATCGGTAGCGTCACAGCATTAGTAGTGTGCTACACTCTTCACAATTATTCACTGTAAGCACATGAAATATGCTTTTTACATTCATCAGTGCCATTGATTTGAAGGGTCATGAAGGGTAACCTGAATTTTAATGACCATCAATATATATGAATATTGCAAGGAAGAAGGCTTCATGCATCAGCTTTTATTTCATTAAATCATTTTTCACTATCACATGGAACTGGAAAGGGATCAGGTAACATTTTTCATTAAAAATCTGTTGCCTGACTTTAAAATCATAATTCATAGTTCATTTATTGTTGTGTTACTAAAGCCTCATCGTTGGATTCTCAAAAGTTGTTGTGTCTTTATAATCAGTTCACAATTACATTCCAATTGTTTTCCAGATAAAACAGCCTGACTATGACTAACTCCACAGAGTAAATACTAAATTATTTCATTTCAACATCTTATTGCTAAAATATTGTGTATCACAATATTAGTAACTTTACATATTATAACAAAACATAGTTTAGCTGCTCCAATAACACAAACAACCTGCCAGTTGCAATTGTCAGATATTTCTATATAAATATACCAAACAATTTCAAAATGGTTAGAAGGGATATAGAAGCCCTGTGTACATTTATGCTATGATGAAAATGAAGAATTATCAACTGCTATAATTTCATGGCATCTTTCACAGACTCTGGAGCCAAACTGACTTCTGTATCACTGTTGATCACAGTCACCCTGAAGTGCCTTGAATGTTTAGGCCATGATCTATGATTTATAGCTATTATCCCAAGGGAAGATGTTTGTCTTTTAAAAGCCTGTGCTCTTCTCTAGGATTGAATGCATGATGCACGCTGTAAGCAAAAGACATTTGGGGCACATGCAGGAAAATGTTAAAGCCAAGATCTTTGGAAATAAGTGTGAACTGATAGTATTTCAGCATTTTTAGCCTTTCAGCTTGCGTCATTGTCCTCTGCTCAAAAACCATCATCATCCTGATTACAAGTTGTGCTTATTATACAAGTGTTTGGTGCTTATTATATGTCACATAATGAAATATTAAATCTTTCGTCCCATTGTCACAATATTTTTTTTCTTACACAATACAGACTTCACCTGTTTTGTTTCTCCTAAGATCAGACCCAGATCAGGCCTTCACTGAAGGCGTTCTTTAGAGCTGTGCCATGATACGAGTTCTAATAAATCACCTATTTTAATATAAACTGAGTATTCAATCATATATGTCTTGTTTTTAATACCAGAGGACAAACTATAATGCCTTTGTAAATCATAACAAATCAAAATAATCAAAAAAAAAGATATTTTATATTTGGCATGCATCAACACAATACAAGTACAAGTATATATAGAAGTACTGCAATCTGCAGAAAATAACACTGAATCTCTAGGAGGAGTTTTAGAAATGGACATATATTGGAAATATTAGCAGTTTCTTTATAAATGATCATATTTAAATATGGTATTCTGTGCTGAACTCTCAAAACTTGGTGGAATGACTGAAATTTTACTTACAGTAATGAAATTAGTTTACTGTAAATTGATGCGGTTCAGTTCAAGAAAGGCAGTACTTGTTTATTAACAATTGAGCCCAGGCAGATGGGCATCATTCCGATCACATGTACTCCTGCATGAACACTATAAAAACAGAGAACAAATGTATTTGTAGACATCAAATAAAGTAACTTACAATATGGTGCTGCTTCTGTCTGTCTAACACATGGTAACATACTGTACTAAATAGCTAAAGTGCAAAATAACTGTCATTTGTGGAGCAATGTATGACACTAACATGAAAAGTCATTTTATACTCACTTCTTAAGACCAGTTCACACCAAGGACGATAACTATAAAGATAACGATAAAGATATAGTTCTAAAAATCATTCTCAATATTAAAGAATAGCAGAGTCCACACCACAACTATAACGATAAAGACAAAGAGAAACAATATCGTTGGAATCACTTTCAAAATGATTTTTTCCCAGCTGATGAACGATAAAAAATTGACATCCAATCAGAATCCATCCTGCTGTAACAAGCTGGAGAATTTAAAGCGGCAGACAAGCGTGCGCTTAGAATAAACAGACGATATCGTTCGCTGGTGTGGACGATAATATCGTTATCTTTATAGTTATCGTTCTTGCTGTGAACGGGGCTTTAGTCTGCAATGGCTTGTGCAAAGTTTAAACAAAAAATATCTCCTGACATTGTAGCAATAGTGGTTTGGCATGGTTGGTTTAACGCACAGATCACAGGAATGACATGTCAAGTAATTGACTTTGTCAACCTCACATACATGAGAACTGTACTAAAGTCTTATCACATTCTCCTCAGAGGATTCACATGAGCTCTGATGGTTCTTTTTGGAAGATCTCCACATCAGGCTCTTCACTTAAATTCATTTTTTTCTGGTTGCAATGTGTTTAACTATTTTTGTCTTTACTCCCCAGACAATAATATTATAATCACTGAAGTGCATTGAAAGTACTGGCATTCTCGTATTTTCTGGAACGATTGCCTAACATGTGCCAAAATTATTAAACGAATACTTAGATTTATGAAGACAAACTGTCCAGACACAAATTCCTCAAAAAGTCATGGGTATCATATCTATTCTGTGAACTCCACTTTATAATAGCGTGTTAGGTAAAGTTTTGCGCTCATTAACAGCAGACTGACACAAATCGATAGGTCTTATAAAACAGTGGAAGCATGTTATTAGTAAAGTCATTGACACGTTTTCATTATAATGTTGATTGAGATACACATTGTAAATGTGTTTTGTTTGGTTTCTAAATGGGTGTTCAAAATGCTAGTTATATTTATTTTCTAACATAAAGTGAAGCATTGAATGGTTGTTTTAAATGCTCTACATGTTTTAGACAAGTAAATCTTTCCAAATCCAGCAAAAAATGTGATAAAATACAAAACAGCTTGGAGACAACTACTCATTTATTATTAATATTTTCTATATTTTGAATAATAGTAAAATCATCAAAACTATGAAATAGCACAAATTAAAGGATGTTCATTTGTTCTCATCAATTAAAATAAAATAGTAATAATTAATTATAATATTGCTTTTGTAAAGACATTCATACATAGGCACAATGTCTATTTATTTACAAAACAATTTTTAATTATTTAATCATTAATTTTAGATCAAAACGGGTCATAAGAAAAACATCTGTCAGATGTGATGGTGCAACTTTTGACTGGTACTGTATAGAGATATATATATAATAAAATGAATGAGGACAAAATTCAGATTCTTTTTCAACTTTTTTATTCAAATTGTGTTCATGGGAGTGGATTTTTAGGTTTTGGAGATCTCCCTAATAATGGGAGCATTATAATATGCAAATAATATTAAAGGGCTAGACTTGCCATGAAATATTTGATATTACAACACATCATACAGACTTTATCACATAATAAATATACTGGAAGCCCCATGTTTCCTATAGTAAATATGCATGTTTTGCTTTTATCAACTACAGTTCCAGATCCATGTAACTCTTGTAGTTCTTGGAGGAATTATTGAATAAAGTTGTGCTTGCCATACTCAGGGATGTAAAGATCAATTTAAAAACAATCTTCCATGGGCCAATTAATCATCTTATTAATGGTAAAATATCAGAGGAAAAAGTGCATATAGCATGTGCCAAATAGTGAACATGGCAACTTTTAGCTGTTGTTTTTTTTTAGAAGATTTACAGAAAGAACATTTTTCTTGTCACTGCTTTTAATGCATCAGTAACCAGTTCAGAATCCTTGTAGTGCTTGTATGTTAATATATACCAATGACACATCTGGATCACAACACGTTTCAAAACAGCACTGTGCAAGAAAACTACTATGTAACCATCCCTGACACTTTTTTTTAGTCACGTGATCTTACATTACTTAGGCAACGGTTCTTATTTTGCCACTATAAAAATAATCACCGCTGTCAGTGATGGTGTTCATGAAGTGCATACACTCAAAGTGCAAATGTAAATACTTGTAGCCATCAGATTCCACCATTTGATCTCAGAGATGGACAGTAACAAGCTTTTGCCCACTCTCATACATCTTTTTTTTATAGCCATAAACATTTTTTGCCTGTTCAAGAGCGTCCCCCCCCCCCCCCCCCCCCCTTGTAAAGGGCGCCCCCCCCCCCCCCCCTTATACTTACATTTCTACACATGGCAGATTTTTTGTTTTAAAAAAAGA